ATCTCAGCAATCTTTGAGAGATGTTTTTTTCCTAAATCAAGGAACTTTCGAAAACTCGCAAACATACTCCACTAAGTATATGCTTCTTTAACACAGAACCGCGCCAAAACCAAAACAGCGATCTTTAAAGTCAATGGCAGAGATGAACATCAAGCAACAGCAAAGGGGTTTGTAGAGACGGTCATAAAACGGAAAATCACAAAGCAATATGATAAATTCCGTTTTAAGCGTGCTATGTCAATCTTAAGAACTGACCCAGAGTTTTTTTTGCGAAATGGCAAAAGGTCATATGTGCGAATACATTGACGCTATAAGAATGGAAAGTGCAAACGCCGCAGAAGGCGTAGCAAACGCCGCAGAAGGCGTAGCAAAAAGTGCCAGAAAAATCAAAACTTAAGAGAGACGATAAATACATCCATACACAACAAATACATTGAAACAGAGATTGACCCAGCTACTCAACAACCAAAGAAGCGCTCGCTAAACAGCGCTACACCGAAAATGCGTGTTGGATAACTTCGCTTTTGGACCACTGCCTCGACCTTATGAGACACAAGCGGGGCTCTCTTTCAAAACCCTAACCCGAAAACACATGCTAGAACTTTTAGGTTCAACCGGAGAAGAGTTGAAAAACAAGGGCGCCAAATCACAAACTCCGCATACTTAATCTGATCTTTCTCCATCTTCGTCAACGTCAGCACCTCATCGAACTCCTTCATCCGTGAACTCTGACGTTTAGGGCTTAGGATGGCTCATGGCCTATTGGGAACCCGTGTTTTTTTTGGTTGCGGGTGCTTTTTTGCTGTGGGTGCTTTTTTTCGGGGGCCTCCCCGGTGAGTGAGTGACCTGGCGCGTGTCGGGGCGCGTCCGCGGCAAAAAAAAAGGCACCCCCCCCCCCCCCCCCCCCCCCCCCCCCCCCCCCCCCCCCCCCCCCCCCCCCCCCCCCCCCCCCCCCCCCCCCCCCCCCCCCCCCCCCCCCTCCTCCCCCCCCCCCCCCCCGCGTGAGCCAAAAAAAAGCGCGCCCCCGCGCCCGCAGCAAAAAAAAATCGCGCCCCCCCCTTCCTCCCCACCCCCCAAGTCATTTGTTTTGCAATTTCCTCCCCAACCCCGTGCCCAATGCCCCTCCTCCTTTAAACTGTGCAAGCGTTTTCAAAGCACTGAATCCTTCCCAAGGCCATCATGCGAGCATTGTGTTTGCAAACGGTGGAGGCAGGGCTGCACCCCGCCCGACCCCCCCCCCCCCTCTTTAAATCCGTGCCAGCTCGATTCTCAGCATATGAATCCTGTCCAAGCCTATCATGCCAGCATTGGGTTTGCAAATTGGGGGGGGCTGCGCCCCCCCCAACCCCCCCGCTTCTTAAAGCCATGCCAGCTTGCTTCAAAGCAAATGAATCGTTTCCGAAACCATCATGAGAGCATTCCCCCCCGCTTGAACACGGGGGGGGGGTCTGCGCTTTTTAGCCGGGCAAACTTGCTTCAACCATACGAATCCCTTCCAAACCCATGATGATGCGAGCATTGTGTTGCAAATGGGGGGGCTGCGCCCCCCCCAACCCCCCCGCTTTTTTTTAGCCGGCAAGCCTGCTTCAAAGCTTACGAATCCCTTCCAAACCCATGATGCGAGCACTGTGTTTTCAAATGCGGCGGTCTGCGCAGCCCCCAACCCCCTGAAAAAAGAGGGAATATATGCTTGCTTTCCTACGAAAATTCAGACCTTATAGTGGCAGTTGAATTTTCCGTTTAAAAATAGAGATATAAACGTCTTCTTAGTAAAGAATCGAGAAAATAGAGCTTGTGTTATGAGACATGAACAAAAACACTTGTTGTCTACGAGTCACAGATAGAGATAATGCATGTACTCTTATGACAATATAGAGAATTAGCTTTTCATGTATTCCTCTCTCTGAAAATACTGACAAAATAATAAAACTATAGAACAATGTTTCCTATGACAACATAGAGGAAATAGAGGCTTTCATACGAAAATATAGCGAAACTACAAAGTGTTTTCATATTAAAATGTAGAGGTCTTGATATTCAAATATAGAGAATAGAGGTTTTCATGTTCAAATGTTAAGACAATGGAGGTTTGCCTATTCAGAGACAGAGAAAATACTGGGCTTCCTATTAAAATAGGACAAGAGGAACAAAAACACTTTTAATTGCAAGTCACATATTGAGGTAACACAGAGAATAAGTTTCTCATGTATTACTCTCTCATGTCTTCCTCATTAAATATAGAGGAAAACTATGACGATATAGACAAAAATAGAGAGAAATAGAGGTTTTCGTTATAAAATATACAGACATAGAGGTTTTCGAATTGAAGTAGAGGTTTTCGTGCTAAATGTAGAGAAAATAGAGGTTTTCATATTCAAATATAGAGAAGAAAGAGGTTTTCCTATTCAAATAATTTCAAATATATAGAGAAGAAAGAGGTTTTCCTATTGACAATTAGAGAAAATAGAGCTTTTCATAGTAAAATATAGAGAAAACAGCAAAAACGCTCCGCACCCGCAGCAAAAAAAAACGCGCCCCCACGGCACCCGCAACAAAAAAAAACGCGCCCCCGCACCCGCAGCAAAAAAAGAAAGCGCCCCCCGCACCCGCAGCAAAAAAAAAAGAACGCGCCCCCGCACCCGCAGCAAAAAAAAAACGCGCCCCCGCACCCACAGCAAAAAAAACACCCGCAACAAAAAACACACTCTTACCATGGCCTATTGGGGGGTAGGGTTTAGGGTTTAGGGTTTAGGGTTTGGGGTTTGGGGTTTGGGGTTTGGGGTTTGGGGTTTGGGGTTTGGGGTTTGGGGTTTGGGGTTTGGGGTTTGGGGTTTGGGGTTTGGGGTTTGGGTTTGGGGTTTGGGGTTTGGGGTTTGGGGTTTGGGGTTTGGGTTTGGGGTTTGGGGTTTGGGCTTGGGGTTTGGGGTTTGGGGTTTGGGGTTTGGGGTTTGGGGTTTGGGGTTTGGGGCTTGGGACTTGGGGCTTGGGGTTTGGGGTTTGGGGTTTGGGGTTTAGGGCCTTTGTTACGCTGAGGAGATGTACGGCTTTCCCACGCTGGTCAACGCGGCAGGCGAGCAGTTGAGTGCGGCGGCGGCTGGGACAGATTTCTCGCATGACCGGTTGTCAGGTTGCGGCCCTCTTTGTGTATATTATATATCATATATCATGTATCATATATAATAACAAAAGTATATATATATATATATATATATGTACATATGTAGAGGAGAAAACCCTGTTTGTAGACGATCCTGCGCTTAGAAGCCAAACCCCACGCGCTTGGGGGTTTCCGAAATTGCGGGTACCTTGTTGGGGTCCTTATTATAAGGGAATCCTGATATTTGGGGTCCATATTCGGGGTCCCTCATTTCCGTAAGCCCAAGCCTTTTTCAACCCTGGGTTGCGATGTAGCCCCTTATACTAACAGGCCTTAATAGGGATTATAAACAGGGGGTACTACTGCTATAACCAGTATTAAGGATCGTTAGAAAAAGGGGGAACATCCCAAACCCTGGGCTCCAAACCGGACACGGCCGGTCCCGAGCCGTGCTCGTCTTGAATGCCCGCCCTCTAGGGTCCGGGGCTCAGGGCTTGAAGTTTGTGGGCTTGTGTTTACAAAGCAGAAGAGCCCCCTAAACCCTAAGCCCTAAGCCATAAACCCTAAACCCTCAACGTTAAAAGACCATGAGGTCAACCCTGCGAACGTGCCGATGGTCCTGGCGGAGATGCGTAAGTTTAGGCCGAGGGCTTCTTGGGGATTTGGGATAGGTTTTTGGTTTAGGGGGGGTGAGGTGTTAGGTTGTAGTTTTGAGGTTGAAGGTCTGCTGTTTTTGTTTGGCTTGCTGGCTTGAGTCCTTGCACGCGTGTAACATACATACATATTGTGTTTCTTAAAGTCTTAGTAAAGTTACAACTATGCTTGTTATGCCAATTAGTATTGTGAGGTTGTGTTTAGCCCCAACTTACCACAACTTCTATGGTTTGCACTCACGGAAACTGCCAACGCCTTAGGAAAAACTCTAACTGACTACGTTACCCTCTGACACCATCCCTGCACCTGTAGGCACCAGCCGCGCATTCAGAAGTTCATTGCGGAGATCACGCAGAAGATCAAGGCATGGCCGCCGAAACAGTGGCACCACTCAAGCTATTCGAGGATTCGAGGCCGAAGCCCATGCTTAGTGAGGGATCCGACCCTGGGTACTGAGCTCGAAACCCCCCTTCTCCTGAGTGCAGGAGAACGCCGACTTGCTGGAAGCCCTGGTGGCGGCTTGCTGAGGAGCACGCCTCCTCACTCCACCCCGCCGTCCCTAACGCCACCTACCTGAATCCGGATACAAACTGAAACTCTCACCTCAATAATGCAAGCCTGATTGAAGCCCTTCAAGACATTTAGAGGGCATGATGTGCGGGGCGCCGTGACACTGTCGTACAGTTTGCAGTGAGATGGGCAATGCCGAACGGGCCTGGGAGCGCTTTGAAGCAAAAGAGAGGGTTGAGGGTTGAGGGTTGAGGGTTCAGGGTTCAGGGTTGAGGGTTGAGGGTTGAGGGTTGAGGGGATGGTTCTTTCAGGGTTGAATAGTGTTCATGGCTCTTTTAGGTTTGGAGGGTTTCCAGCGTTTGTATGGTTTCGAAATGAGAATTTGTTGCAGTGGGGGTTTTCCCCTAAACCCTATACCCTAAACCCTAACCCCTAAACCCTAAACCCTAAACCCTAAACCCTAAACCCTAAACCCTAAACCCTAAACCCTAAACCCTCATCCCAACGCCCTAGACCCTAAATAGGGGCTTGGAAGTGCATCAGCTCTTTCTAAGTTGGCGTTGGTGCCAGAGCTCAGTAGCTTGAGCCAAACCCTGGGGTGCTTGACGCAATCTTTTTGAGCAGAGGGTTTAGGGTTTAGGGTTTAGGGTTTAGGGTTTAGGGTTTAGGGTTTAGGGTTTAGGGTTTAGGGCATCTCGGAATCTCGGGCATCTTTGCAGTTGTGTGGTGAGCTTCAGCGATGAGTCTTGTTGGCTATCCGACCTTGTCTCCCCCCTCTCTGGCGCCAGCTCTCGACATGCGCTTGCCGCATCTGCTTGTGAATGTGCGTGAGGACGGCCATCACAAACCTGCAGATCAGGTGCGGGAGTTTATCTTGTGTTTCCAGGACATCCCTCTATCTCTGCCGGTGCACCAAGTGCTTCGAATGATTGAGGTGCAGCTGTTGGGAGCTCTGCGCGAGCAATCCAAAAGAAAGATGGATCCGCAATCAGCACAACTGGTCTTGGCAAATGCCGGCATGACCATGGTGGACAACATGCGCGGTGACTTTCACGTGATGCAGGCAGAGCCAGCCGGGCGCCGTCGGGGTCCCAGCCGGGCGTCGGAGCCACAGGCCCAGTTCCTGACGCCGGAGGAGCGGTCAACCCAGGAGGAGGCAGAGCGGGAGCGTGCGGCGCTGCGCGCTCAGGTGCGGTCCAGGGTCCGGATGCTTCGGTCCACCGGCGAGAGGGTGGACTCCGATGAGGAGCTGGATAAGGCGGAGAGGGAGCGCGGCTGGACCCTTCCGTCCGGGTGGCGTGCTGAGCAGCCCAGCTTGGTCGATTTCCTTCCGCCGTATTTCAACCGCGAAGGGAAGCCCGAGCTCTTCAACCTGGTCTCGGGCGATGCGCATCGTTTCTGGGAGGTGCTGGGCTGTCCTGATAAGCTCTTGAACCCCACGAGCGTGGCAAACGGCCAGATCCTCTACGGCCTTGTGGAGGCTAAGGCCAAGCTTTGCGAGGAGCTGTGGAGGATATACCAGGGCAAGCCACGGAAAGGCGCCGATCTCAAGGCAGAGGCCCGGACCGTTTTCGATCATCCACAGGCTGCTCAGGGGTGGGGACAGACCTCGGGCCGCGTGGCCAATCCGGTTCATGACGTGGTGGTCAGAGCTCAAGTGATGGGAGCTCCGGAAGAGATCCGGGCAAAGGCGCAAGCAGTTCTGGAGGAGTTGGATCAGCTCGTGCAGCGCGTGCACGGAGACTGCGCCACAACGCCCGAGGCAGGGCCAGAGGAGGAGGAGCTCAGGGCAGCTCTTTACACTGCACTCAAGGACCAGAAGGCTCAGCTTTTGCTGGAGTGGCATCCCGACAAAGGCCGCACGGGCAAGAGTCCTCAAGAAGCGAAGTCCATGACACAGCTGCTCATCCCGTTGTTTCAACGTATCTTCAAAGTGCTTGGCCGAGAGGAGGTCAGGAATGGCATTCTGCCCAACTAGGACTGCCATGACTGGGCTTCCAAGATGCAGCAAGCGCGCAATGTTCGCCATGGTCGCGCCCGTCGCTGTCGGAAACATGTACTGTACAGAGCGTAATTGAACCCTCGCCGCTCGCTGGTGGCTGCTTGTCTCCAAGTTGGAGGCTGTGCATTGTCGCGACGGGCTGCAACTTTTCTTACGGCTAAGTGGCGGTCCCTGAGCTCGAGGTGCATTGTTGTGTGTATGTATCAACACATGTTGCGACAATCTGTACGAAGATCCTTCTTTAACGTTATTCAGAATGATGATTCCCTTCTGTTTAACCAGCGCCATTTGGGGGTACGTCAGTACCACCCCTGCACCCAAAGCCCTAAGCCCTCAGCCCTAAGCCCTAAACCCCAAACCCCAAGCTATACAGGCGTTCTGTTGGTAGTTCGGGAGACCCCATTTTGAGACCCTTTGCGACACAGCCGCGGGTCACAACTCCTTGCCTCCAGCAAAGGGCCTAAAAGGAGCCTTGCAGGGTTTAGGGTTGGGTTTAGGTTTAGGGTTTAGGGTTTAGGGTTTAGGGTTTAGGGTTTAGGGTTTAGGGTTTAGGGTTTAGGGTTTAGGGTTTAGGGTTTAGGGTTTAGGGTTTAGGGTTTAGGGTTTAGGGTTTACGGTTTACGGTTTAGGGTTTAGGGTTTAGGGTTTAGGCTTTAGGGTTTAGGGTTTAGGGTTTAGGGTAGAGGGTTTAGGGTTTAGGGTTTAGGGTTTAGGGTTGAGGGTTGAGGGTTGAGGGTTGAAGGTTGAGGGTTGAGGGTTGAGGGTTGAGGGTTGAGGGTTTTGCCTGCAATTGCCATGTTTCTTGTTATGGCTACCGATCCTAGAAGTCCTTCACCCTAAACTCTAAAAGCCCATGAACCCTCTAAACCCTAGCCTTAATCTCTAAACAGGGCCCAAGCCTCAACCTAAACCCTAAACCCTAAACCTTAAACCCTAAGGGTTTACGCGAAAGCAGTGGCACCCTAGAATCCGCCGGGTTTGCACGTCCACTTCTCGACTCGTCCCGGTGAAGTCGTTGTGGAACGCTACGTGAATCAGCGCTCCCATGATTTTTTGTATCCCAGTTGGGTTTAGGGTATAAGGGTTCCTACTATACGACGCAGCCTTATATGTAGGGTACCTCAAGGGTACCATTAACTGTAGAATACAAAGAAGTTGATGCTCATGCTAGCAGCCTGGGACCTTGAAGCTTAAGTCCTTGTAGCCTGGAATCCTGAACCTTAAGCCCTTGGAAGATCGAGATCCTTTACGCCCGAGCACCCTATGACCCCGAAATTTAGGGTTGAGGGTTCAGGCTTTAGGGTTTAGGGTTTAGGATAAGGGTGTAGGCCTATAACCCCAAAAGTACTCCGTACATCCTGGGCCCAGGGGAAGCAGGGAGAAAGCTGCGGCTGCCGGGTCTGGAGCAAAGGCAAAGAGCAGGATCAGCTGCAAGGGCTTCAGGCTGTAGGGGGTCTCCGAAGCCCTACGCCCTAAACCCGACACCTTACACACCCTAAACCCGAAAAAAGGGTACCCTAAACCCTAAACCCCAAACCCTAAACCCTAACCCTAAACACTAAACACTAAACACTGAACCCTTTTGGGGTTTTGCAGGGTTTAGGCTGAGGGACGAGTCGGAATTGGAGATTGCAACGATTGTGCAGGGGTTGATGTTGTTGCGTCAGGCTGTACGTCTGGTTGAAAGTCTCAGCTTGTGATTGCGGCGGCGGTCCTTTTCGCAATGCCTTTCTTATCGTCTTCGCCATTTTTGTACCGCTGGTTGTGAGGATGATTTTATGACCACATATCGGCATCTCGGCAGTTGATACTCGACAGTCTTGTCGCACCTGGAGTATAGCACCAACAGGCAGATCAACCAATGACAAGATGAAACATCATCTTTGGCACTATTCTCGTGGTTCTTGTAGCAGAGTAGCCTGATGCAGCTTGTGGCTCGTTGCCCGTTCCCGGACCTAGAGAAGGCCCTCAGTCCGCTTTTTGTTAAGGGGGGTTCCCTTATAAGGACCTTGAAGCCAAAAACGGCAAACTTTTTCTTCCTACATTACCCTTGGGTCTAGATGTTCGTCGTGTTGTTTGATCTGAGCATATCTAGTCACCAGAAACTCCTATATCTGGACATCTGCGTAGTCGACATCTCCAAGGACCAAGGTTTTGGGACCCTAAACCCAAAACCCTTAACCCTTAACCCTAAACCCAAAACCCAAAACCCAAAACCCTAAACCCTAAACCCTGAACCCTTCAGGGTTTCGGGTTTGGGGACCTCCAGCCGTAAACCCTAAGCCCTCGAGCCCTAAACCCTAGAGCCCTAAAGCCCTGAGACCCTAAGCTGTGAACTCCCGTTTGCCGCAGGATCCCCAAGCAGATGCGTGGAGAGTGGGGGACAAAAAGAGTTGGGGAAGAGCCGACTCTTGGGGCCCATGTCGCTAGGGTTCTTCTTCCCAGTGTAGGGTTCAGGGTTTAGGGTTTAGGGTTTAGGGTTTAGGGTTTAGGGTTTAGGGTTTAGGGTTTAGGGTTTAGGGTTTAGGGTTTAGGGTTTAGGGTTTAGGGTTTAGGGTTTAGGGTTTAGGGTTTAGGGTGTTCTTGAAGTTGTTGTTGTTCGGCTTGCATGGCACCAAGACCCCAGACTCCAAGCATCGCCCTAAACCCTAAACCCTGGGCCCTCAAGCCTCAACCCTCAACCCTAGCCCTAAACCCTAAACCCTACACCCTAAACCCTAAACCCTAAGCCCTAAGCCCTAAACCCTAAACCCTAAACCCTAAACCCTAAGCCCTAAACCCTAAACCCTAAACCCTAAACTCTGAGCATGGCAGAACGCCCGCTTCGTGGGCAGCCCGGTCCGCAGCCCATACTTCGGTGGCAGCCCTTACAATGTGGGCGCCCTCGGAGTTTTGGGTTTAGGGTTTAGGGTTTTAGGGTTTGGGTTTAGGGTTTGGGGTTTCGGGTTTGGGGTTTGGGGTTTTAGGGTTTTAGGGTTTTAGGTTTTAGGGTTTTTGGGTTTTTGTGTTTTAGGGTTTTAGGGTTATCGGGTTTTCGGGTTTTAGGTTTTTGAGTTTAGGTGCTGGAAAGGGCTTAAGATTTTTTAGGGGTTTAGAGTTCAGGGTTGAAGGGTGTCAGGGGCGGCGGGGGGGAGGGGGGTAGGGAGAGTTTTCGGTGTGCTGGTTTAAGGGATTTAGGTGTTGAGGTTTCAGGCTTTAAGGTCTAGGCTGAGTTTGGGCGGCGGGCTTTTGCCTTGGTTCGCTTTGCGTCTTCTTTGGGTGGTTTGGGTTTTTTTGGGTTCTCGTTCCCAAGCCCTAAAGCCCCTAGACCCTAAACCCCAAACCCTAAGAACGCCCAGGTTGTGCTGGGTTGAAGGTCCTCAGGGCGTAGGGCCTGCGCGCTACACCTGACACCCCTTAAAGAAACCCTAAATCGCAACCCTCAGAAAGGGGGGGGCAGGGGGGGGTTTAGGGCTTAACCCGAAGCAACCCTTTGGACCCTAAGCCCTAAAGCCCTACACCTCAACAAGCCCTAACCCAACAAACCCTACACCTGACAGTCTGAGCTCTGTGAAGCATAATGGCGCCTTGGGGGCCAAGAGCAAAGCCAAGAAGCAACCAAGGGTCTTTGTTTTTAGGGTTTAGGGCTTAGCGGGAAGGTTCTGATTTCGGGTTGGAGTTTTAAGTTTAGGGCTTATTATGTACCACGCCGTTTAATCTGTCCTCACTGTGCTAAGCTTTCTGTTTGAGTACCCGGTTTTAGGGTTGAGGGTACACCCTAGAACCTAAAGCCGTTTGGAGGGCTTTGGGCTTTGGAAAGTCAGGCGGCTGGCTACGTTGGTAGCCCGAGCTCTCACCCGATGAGTGTCACACCAAGGGGGGGCAGGGTTCAGGGTTTAGGTGGCAAAAAGAGTTTAGGTGTTAAAACTTAGGGCGCGGGGGCTTCAGTAGATTTTGCAGCTTGGATTCACAGGGATTAAGGGGAATATGAGAGGGCAGAGGTGGGTGACTCTCAATTAAACCCTAAACCCTAAACTCTAAACTCCAATCCTAAACCCTAAACCCTGAAGCCTGAACTCTGAACCGTGAACCCTAAACCCCACGTCTTAAATCTTCAGCTCCTACATCCTAAGCCCGAGAGAGTTCGGCTCAAGTCTTTCCAAGCTCTGAGTTCAGAGAATTCAGGACTTAGGGTTCAGGGTTCAGGGTTTTTTTTAGGGTTTATAGGGTTCAACCCGGAACAATAAACCCCCGAGGCCCTCAACCCCTACTGTCCGGGGACTTAAGTTACTGAAGTCCCCGGACACCAGGCCCAAAGCCCTTAATCCGCCAGGGAAAGCTGGGCCTGTAGATCTCTTCGGGGGCTTTAGGGTTTTGGTCTTGGGCCTTAGGGTTTTGGGGTTTTGGGGTTTTGGAGTTTTAGGGTTTTGGGGTTTTGGGGTTTTGGGGTTTTGGGGTTTTGGGGTTTTGGGGTTTTGGGGTTTTGGGGTTTTGGGGTTTTGGGGTTTTGGGGTTTTGGGGTTTTGGGGTTTTGGGGTTTTGGGGTTTTGGGGTTTTGGGGTTTTTGGGGTTTTCGGGGTTTTCGGGGTTTCGGGGTTTCGGGTTTTCAGGTTTTCGGGTTTTCGGGTTTTGGGGTTTTGGGGTTTTGGGGTTTTGGGGTTTTGGGGTTAAGGGTCTGGGACCTCAGGGTTGGAATGGCTTGAGACCTTTGAGGTTTAGGGTTTATGGCTTAGGGTTTCCAGGGTCTGGGGCTTTAGGGTTTAGGGGCTTCGGGGTTTTTTGTTTCTGGCCTCAAGCTTCTTCAAGAAATCCTCTGATGAGCTTCCGAAGGATAAACAGAATAGTCTTTGTAGGTGAGCTATGCGCAGGGTTTAGGTTAGGGGCCCAAAATCCGAAAGCAGAGGCCGTCTAGACCAAAGCTCCTTGTTGGGTTGAAGGGTACAGTCTTACGAATTAGGCCCTTGCTAGGCCCTGCGAGGCCTTCAAGTAAGGTCCTTCTCCCCAGAACAGCAATGAGCTCACTACGACAACAGCGACACGCGCTAAGCCCCCTTGTGCCACAATCCCCCTAAACCCTAAACCCTAAACCCTAAACCCTAAACCCTAAACCCTAAACCCTAAACCCTAAACCCTAAACCCGAAACCCTAAACCCAAATCCCGAACCACTCTAAGGTGATCGCAGCCCAGGCAGTCCCTAGGTTGTCAGGGCCACAGCTGGGGCATCAGGGCTGCTGTGCTTGGAAGTTGTTTTGACTTAGTAAGTAGGGTTTGGGGTTTAGGGTTTCGGGTTAGTAAGGTGGGTTGTGGGAATGTGTCTAGGGGATACTACGTAGACTTACTAAGTCAAAAGAGCTCCAAGTACCCCTCTCAGCACTCGAAGGATCATGGGTATCTGTAAGTGGGACTTTACGTATTAGGGCGATACCGACAGTTAACCTAATATAGGGGCATTAGTATTTGTATTGGGGTTTCGGGGTTATTCTGCACAACAACATGGGGACCACAGGGGGAATACTATTAGTATTTATTCTTATTCCGACCCCTATAGCACTTGAATGCCTTCAAGAACTGCACCTGCTTATGAACCTTCAAGCAAGAACAAGTGCAACTCCAGTCGAGCGAACTGCGACAGGCCTACTGAAAGCTACTGCCCCCCCCCCCCGCCCCGCCCGACTACACCGTCTCACACCACGTCCAGCTTCCGGGCAGGTCTGTTGTAGCGTCCGCGCTCACCCTGTGGTTTCCTCCTGTCCATGCCCAGGAGAACAACGCTCTCTTCCACACGCTCGGGTGGTAGCAAGTGCCCGGGCTTCTCCCATCAGAGACGCCTCAATCACAGCGACAGCACGGAAGAAGAATGTACAGCTGATCGTTGCCTGACGTAGGCAACAACGGTGCCTAAGCCATGAGAGCAGCACAACCCAGCCGCTGCAAGAGAAAAAGCAGCACCCGACACACCAACAACGCAGAGTTGCTTTTGTGAGGGGACTGCGAAGCTCCAAACGTTAAATGTTTCAGAGCCAACCAGGGTTCAGACTTGCAGCACATAGTCATTGAAGCTGGTTGCTCTCTCCGATCTCCTGGTTCAAGCCGAGCCTGCCTCCTTGTTTACGTACCGAAGGCAAGCGATTTCAACATCGTGTGCATGCACGGATGACGCCATACCCTAAATACCAAACCCTAAACCGGAAGTGTAGGTGTTTGAGGGTTACACCACTTGCCACAGCACACATGTGAAGTTAAGATGTCACGCCCTGGAGAGTTGCCCATATGCAACCCTAAGCCCTGAACCCTACACTCTAAACCCTAAACCCTAAACCCTAAACCCTAAACCCTAAACCCTAAACCCTAAACCCTAAACCCTAAACCCTAAACCCTAAACCCTGAACCCCAAGCTGGCCCAAACCCTAAACCCTTCAACCCTGCACCTACGCCGGGTTTAGGTTTTAGGGTTTAGGGTTCAGGGTTCAGGGTTTAGGATTTTACGGCCACAGTCTTGGGGTACTGGCCACCGGTGTGCGTAGCTGCTGCTGCATGGAGGGACTTTGCAGGCACGGGCCTGAACCGCAAACCGTAAAACCGTACAGGTTCGGGTTCAAGAGCTACACCCTAAACCCTGAAACCTAAACCCTTAACCCATCTTAACCCTAAGCCTTTAGGATTTGGGGCTTAGGGTTGGGGCTTTAAGTGATTTAGGGTGCTTGAGCTGGTGGCTTCAGCGGCTCGGGGGTTTACCTGAGTATGACCTTATTTCCCATGGAGAAGGTAGGGCCGAGGAGGGGGGGGCATCTAGGGCCTTGAACCCTGAAACCAGCCTCAGAAACAGCTGAACAGCTTAACCTGAGACCCGAAACCCCTCAACTCTGGGTTGTTTGGGGTCGGGGTTCTGAACCCCCGAGTGCTCAGCTCACACCCTGAGTTCGGGTTGCTGTTCACGAGCTACTTAGAAGATGCCATCCTATGGGTAACGGTTTAGGGAATTGTAGTTGGGGGTTTAGTATGCGTAGTCCATCATAGTCTGGTTTCCTCCTTACGTACAGGTCCCTAGGCATCGCAGGCGGCCCTCCATGCGCAGGACGGGCTTTGTTGAATGGCAGAGTTTGGGGTTTGGAGTTCCAGGATCAAGGGTTGCGCCGGGCTTAAGACAACCCCAAACTCCCCATGGAAGCTTTAGAATAGTCAAAGACAACCCCCTATACAAGAGCAGCTAGAGCTTTGAAGCAGGCTTTAGGATAATTAGGGCCAAGAGTTGTTAAGATTTAGTCCTTTGTGGCCCTGTCCTGAGCTCTAAGCCCCAAACCCTCGGCCCTGTTTTGCGCACGTTACCTTAGGTTTCGCCTCTTCAAACCAAACAAGGGCACCCTGCTTTCTTCTAGCTTACTGTGGGTTCGGAGGGCAGACTTCAAAAGCCCGAAACTTCAAAGCTTAGATAGTTGTCCCTCCCCCCCCCCCCCCCCCCCCCCCCCCCCCCGTCCTGGCAAATAGTGTTCACGTGCGCAGCTGGCAGCTCAAAACATCTCAAAAGCATGCCACGCCATAAATCGCTGAAATGTGGCCCCCCCCTCCTGAACCCCAAGGGTCCCCCAAAACCCTGAACCCTACACCCTCCCACCCCAGAGACTCTCCGGGACCTAACAGAAGCCCAAACCGCAAACCTTAACCCTGAAGCCTACAATCCCCCTCATCAGCCCTAAGCCCTAGACCTTAAATCCTAAGCCCTAGGCCCTGAGCCCTATCCCCAAACCCTCAAAGCCCTGCACCAGACTTCAGCCCTCCCACAACCCTAAACCCTAAACCCTAAACCCTAAGCCCTAAACCCTAAAGCCTAAACCCCAAACCCTAAACCCGGATGGTCACGGTTGCATGAGCTCCCTGCTCTCGCCTCTACTGGAGTCAGAGCCTGCGCGACCCATGGCGTACACTTGCGCTGGCCACTTTGCCGGCCCCTGTCAGCTGAAGTTTAGGGGTAGGGTTTAGGGTTTAGGATTTAGGGTTTAGGGTTTAGGGTTTAGGGTTTAGGGTTTGGGGTTTAGGGTTTAGGGTTTAGGGTTTAGGGTTTAGGCAGTAGCGCTTAGGGTTTAGGGTTTAGGGGTTTGGGTTTAGGGTTTAGGGCTGAGAGGATGTCGGTTTCGGGGGCAGTCGCATGCAAGGAGCGCGTCTCTACACCCCGTGGCCTCAACCCTTGACCCTGAACACTGTGCCCTAAATGTCTTGGTTTAAGGTCTCATGTTCATAGTCCTAGGAATCAGGGGTTTAGGGTTTAGGGTTTGCAAAATGTAACCCTAAACCCTAAACCCTAAACCCTAAACCCTAAACCCTGAACCCTAAACCCTAAACTCTAAACCCTAAACCCCAAACCCGAAACCCCAAACCCTTCGACGCCGTGAGCCCATGGACCCGAGACCGAAGCGTGGAGCAACCAGAAACCACGAACCCCCCCCTCATCCTATCATCCTAAAATCTATAATCCTAAACCCCTAACCCCAAAACCTCTAAACCGTCTAAACATGTCTAAACCCTAAACCCTTAAACCCTTAAACCCTAAAACCTAAACCCTAAACACTAAACCCTAAATCCCTAAACCCTCAACCCTTAAAACCAAACCCTAAACCCTAAATCCCTAAAACCTCATCCCTTAAAAGCCTACAAACCCTGTAAGAACCTGAGCTCAGGCCTAGCTCTCATCGTGTTGGTCGCGCTCATTTGGGTGGCAGCTTCGCAGCTCATTGCAGCTTGCCTTTTGGAGGTTTAGGAGTTTAGGGTTTAGGGTTTAGGGTTTAGAGTTTAGGGTTTAGGTTTAGGGTTTTGGAGGTTTAGGAGTTTAAGGTTTAGGGTTTAGAGTTTAGGGTTTAGGTTTAGGGTTTTGGAGGCTTAGGAGTTTAGGCTTATAAAGTTTAGGGTTTAGGGTTTAGGGTGTACGGGTAAGGGTTTAGGAGTTTACGATTCTAGGGTTAAAGGGTTTAGGCCTTTAGGGTCTTAGGGGTTTGTAACGCTTCCGGTTACCCGAAACCCTAAATCCTAAACCCAAAACGAAGCAACAGCTGCTGGCCACCCTGGTTTATGGGTGGGATGCGGGAACTTTAGGATCCCCAAGGACGAACCTCAAACAGCCGAGGAGACCATCTTCAAGGACCAGTCCTTCGACCACCCCTACTTCCTGACCTACTTCAACACATGCGGCGTTTGGGCTTCCAATGCGTTTTGTGGGTAGGGTTTAGGATTTCGAGCTTTGTTGAAGCTTCATGGGCTGCTACACACATGAAGTCTCAAGTAGGCCAAGCCCTAGCAGCCTAACACGCTACCACCCCACCACCCAACACCCTCTCCTTAACACCCGAACACCCTACCACCACCCTAACACCCCAGCACCACCCTAACACCCTAACATCCTGACACCCCAACGCCCCAACACCCGAACACCCTAACACCCGACCACCCTACCACCCTACCACCGTACCACCCTACCACAGTACCTCCCTACCACCCTAACACCCTCACACCCCTAAATCCTTTGAGGCTTCACACTATGGCTCCTGGCTTCGGCCTGCAAGCAACGCCGGCTCCGGGGGGCAGGCCGGTTGCAGAGGTAGGCTCACGTTCCCTCAGGGTCTGCTGTCCTATTGAAGCTCAAAACGTCTGCCTAAACCCTAAACCTTCAAACCCTAAGCCCTGAACCCTTTGCTGAAACCCCTTCATCTCAGCATCTTTACCCCCCCCCCCCCCCCCCCCGGAAATTCAAACTTTACCGGGGTGTGCCAGTGCTGACGTTTAAACAATGCACGGGCTCGGGATTTACGGAGGAGTCGGGTTTTCGTGCCCAGCACTGAACTGCGCGTCCTGGCCCAGAAGCCCTGAACCCCTAAACCCCCCCTAACCCCTAACTCCCCCCCTAACCCCTAACTCTCTACACCCCTGCACCCCTACACCCCCTAAACCCACCGCCCCCTAAACCTCTAAAGCCAACCCCCAAAACCCCTACACTCCCTAAACCCCTCCCCCTAAACTCCTGAACCGTTAACCTCCAAACCCTCCTTGCAAGGTTCCGACGGGGTGTCCAGTGTGCAGCTGAGCGAGAGAGCCCGCAGTGTCCAAGCTGGCAAGCGATTTAGGGCTTAGGGTTTAGGGTTTAGGGTTTAGGGTTTAGGGTTTAGGGTTTTGGTTAGTGTTCAGGGTTTTGTTTAAGGAGGTCGTGGTAGCCCAGTGGTGCCTTAAAATTCATTTGTTGGTTCAAGGTTCCCTTGTTATGTAGCCAACCCCAAAAAAAGGCAAATTGGGGCCTTAATAATTAGAAGAGGGTTTTGGGGGCGAGTATACTATACTCATACAGGGACCATGAGGGAATACCATTAGTAATTATTCCGACCCCTAGATCCTAAACCCTAAACCCTAAACCCCAAACCCTAAACTCCAAACCCTAACCCGAAACAGCGTACCCTTATTGCAATATGGTTGCTGGGCCACCCAGAGGCCCCGAGAGTAGAATTTTTGACCCGAAGCCCTAAGCTCTAAGCACTACCCCCTACTTGGAGGTTCATGGTACTTATGAACCAATTATAACTGTACTTATAGCCCACTTAGAAGCCTCTGAAGTGCCCTAATATGGTGATAAGTACAGTTATAAGTACAGTTATAATTGGTTAATTAGTACCATGAACCTCCAAGTAAGCCTGGAACTCGAAAATCTTTGAAACTTGGGATGTTCCCCCTTATACGAACCAGTCCCTAATAGGGGTTATAGTGCAATTCCTATTAAGGAATGGTAGTACAAGGGGGAACATCCCAATTTGTGGCCCACATGTATGCTGGACTTGCGAGGTATGTTTTTTTGGTCACTTTCATGAAGCCGTAAACCCCAAACCTTCAGGCCCAGACCCCTAACAAACCACTAAACCCCTAACAAACCACTAAACCCTGAACCCTTGAGCCCCCACAATCCCGTAAACCGCACAAGCCCACAACCCCAACCTACCCCGCCCCCCCCCCCCAAACCAGAAGTGGGGTTTATACAACCCTGAACCCTAAACCCTGAACCCTAAACCCTGAACCCTAAACCCTGAACCCTGAACCGAACCCTAAAACCCGAAAGTCACGAAAGGCGACTCGCTGATGGAGCAGCCTCCCGACAACCCCAGTGCCAGCAGTCGCCTACGGAAGTATGGCAACTGGCTTGCACGTTTAGTGTTTAGTGCCTTGGGCTTAGGGTTTAGGGTTCAGGGTATAGGGTCATCATCTTCGCTTTGCACTTAAGACGTTCAGGGGTCTAGGGTTCCAGGGTTTAGGACTTGCCGAGCGAGGGTTGGGGTGGGGGTTTTGACAGGGTTCTGGGTGTTAGCTTGCGCGACACAACTGATTCACAGATCCTGCGGCTCGCAAAACTGCTCAAATCTTCACCCATTCACTGGCGCAGCTTGCTATTGCGATACTGTATCGTTTGGATCGACCTGGGCCCTAAACCCACACCCTACTGAAGACTTTGCTCTGTTCCGTCCTGGGTCCCACCCCAAAGTCCTTCAACCCGCGACTAGCGACAGAAATCATCACCATGTTCAAGGGGTTTGAGTAAGATATAGCTGTCCAAAGTCCAAATTGAGTCCAGATTGTCTGCGTACATAGAGCCCAGCATATCCCTTACAAGAAAACTAGGGCTAACTTGATAGAATCCCTCGAAAAAGGGTCAGAAGGAGGCCGCACTTCGAACAACCCTCACATCCCCTGATCCTCTGCCCTGAATCTTAGGGCTTAGGCTTTAGGGTTTACGGTTAGACTAAACCAAGCGCAGGGAAGATGGCGCTTGTCATCAGCCCGGCGTGGCTCCTGGCTGCTTCGCTGATGTCACAAAGCTTGTTGGGTTTGGGGTATAGGGGTCAATGTTTAGGGTTTAGGGTTTAGGGCTAGGGGGGGTCTTGGCCTGTAGAGAGTATGTGCGTGGGCTAATGTAAAATTACATGTGCCTGATTGAGGGCGCTTTCAGGACTTTGACAAGTGGGTTTGAAGAACCCTATCCGCTTCTTCATCCATATGCATTATATATATATATACACATACGTACGTGCGTACGTACATACTATATATATA